GTCAAGGATAAATCCGATTAACTGTTACAATAAATGTTGAACTGAAGCTCACGCTCAGCGTACACCGCGAATCCACTACACTGCATTTCATTCAATTGATTCCAATCACTTGTTGCAGCCGCGCTCTCTCATTTCGCCTCTTTTGGTACGATTTTTCGGTGAAAAGCAAATCAAAGGGAACAAAATCGATATTGAACACCTTCAAAGTCTGGATTTGGAGCCCACATAATCTAGACAAAATATCTGGTTTTTAATTTTCATTTAATATGAAATAACGCTGAATAAACCGATGAGAGAGAGAGAGAGATTGAAAAAAACCGCCACATACACACACACACGTAGTTTACAAAATACTTTTTCAATGGATTTTCCGCAGGGCATTGGGTTGTGTGGCAAAAATCGAATTTCGCGGTGAACCATATGTCCATCAAAAGTTCTCGGCATTCAATACAGCAAACAACAGCATTGGCACATTGACTAAGGTGGCGAATGTGTGTTATTCGGTGTCCATGTAACTTTGCTGTATCGACCGATTTCAATAGAATGGAATGGAATGTCAATCAAACGCGAACAATCAACAACCTGAACGCAAAAGCGAGACGGTATTTTTATTCGACCTCGAAAAAAAAACTCTCTAGAATATTTTTCTTTTCATTCTGTCTAACAGACGTGTTTTTTTTTACTCGTCAAAGAAAAAAAAATCATAATAATAATGGAATTCAAGCAATTTTTACTTTACTGCTTTGCATACACAATTCTGTTTGAACTTTTTAAAAATCTCCGTGAAATTTTTCCAATCCAAAATGACATAAACATAAAAGACATAGTGACGCATAGACGAAAACTTTTTTGTTTATCTTATCAATTTCATGGTAAAAGTATGAACATGAATGTGTTTATATCGCCTGTCTAGCTTGAAGCGTGTATGTTTGTTTGTTGATGTTATAAATGCAAATTCCTGTTATGACCAATAAAAAAGTTTTTAATGAATCAGCCATTACGGTGCCACATCATGCAGCTTATCGAAAAAACATATGCGTTTATCTCCAGTTTATGCTTATAAGAGGATTTTTCAATGCACAAAATTTTATTGAAAGAGAAAATGTGTAAGTTTGTTTTTCTCTCTTTCTCCTGTTTTTTTTTCCATTGTCAATTATTCGGTTATTCATTTGATAAAGTATAAAGTAGATTGAAATATGCAGGTATATAATAATAATGAATGTGTGCACTTTATGTGTATGCGCGCACCAAGCATTCAACACTGAGCACACAAGTGCACACACAGTAAATGAATGCAAAGGTTTTATAACATCGTATGCATTTTTATTATTATTATTATTCGTGTGGAGTAAGTCATACGAATAGATTTCCTGACCTGATGGCAATCGAAATGCTTTTTTAATTTTATAATAATGGTAATACGACGGTAATATCTATGGCAATAATTTTATTACGGATAATTGAATTTTCATCTGATTAAGTCTTTTGGAATAGTGTCGACAGGCGGTATTCTCATTCTCGATCTACTATTCGCCCGTCAACTAGATAATATTTCACACACAGAAAAGAATCCCCGGAAATTTTGGGTGTTCGCCGTAAAATTTGACATTTATATATAAATTTCTATATACATTTTACCGGCAACACTTCAATTTTCCGGGCGATGACATATTTTCGAACATTTTATCAAATACTATGTATATTTTACCGCTTGAAATGACAGATGGCGCTAATTTCTGTTGGAATATTTGAAATTATGTCATCGCCCGGAAAATTCAAGTGTTGCCGGTAAAATGTATATAGAAATTTATATATAAATGTCAAATTTTACGGCGAACACCTAAAATTTCCGGGGATTCTTTTCTGTGTGCAGCCATAGTATAGAAAATTCAGCAGAAAATGGATTTGAACAGGATGTTTGATTACAGAACTATCGATAACTAACTATTTTTCAACATTTATATTGATAGAAAACCCATAGGTTATTCAAATCGAATCTGGTGACATATCATTTTTAGGGTTTTTTGGAACGCTGAACACGAATCCGTTGTCAAAAATTAGCTAATGTTGCTTTATAAAAAAGTTTTAGTACAAAAACATGGTTTTTACTTTTCCGTACACAACGTGTCAAGGGAAAGTATAGGAATTGGTCCCGAAAACTTTTTTCGCAAAATTGGTTTAGATCATCATAAAAACTCATGAAACGCGTAGAAAACCACTTTTTGAGACACTTTTCCGTTCGTGTGCCGTCGTCGTCGTTGTCGTCGCAGCTTATACTTTGGCATTTTCGGTATCTTATTAGTGGTCTTATTACTTATTATTCTAATAAGATGAACCTATATTATTACTCATTACTTTTTTGCACTAGTAATATATCTAGTGAGTATAGTTATTAGAATGTTATTGGTCGAACGAGTAATAAGATGCATGGTATCTTATTAGTATAGTTATTAGATGAAATATATTTGAGTAATAAGATGGTGATGTTATTAGTCTGGAACCAAATGTTTCCCATTAATAACAAACTGATAAGGAGTGCGAATTTCGATGTGGCGATAATATCAATGGATTGAGCACACAAAATACTGCATGAGAATCGAAAAAAAATTTAAACTTTTTTTTTCGATTTTCGGCTGTATTGCGACCGTCTACATGGGAAGTTTGTATGAAATTCTCGGAGCGCCGCTGCTTTTGCATTGGCTTCTATGGCTAAATTTACACATTGAAATATCTCGAAAACGGCTGGGTAAATCGGCAAAATGGACCGTGATGTCACTCCCAAAGGGAGTGTATACACCCAGCTGGTTTGATGGCCTAGAATACAAATCCGGTGGAATTTCAGCTGATCCATGGATTCTCAGGATTTGACCTGATTCCAGAAGTCATTTTACCTATGTTACCACAACGCAAAGAAACTGAAGTGACATCACGGTCCGTTTTGCCGATTTACCCAGCCGTTTTCGAGATATTTTGAAGTTTGAAACCAATCGGAATCGATTTACGGGTACCTCCCATACAAAATTTTTGAAATTTTGACTAAAATTACCGACATTTGGACAATTTTGTATGAGAGGTACCCGTAAACTGATCCTCATTGGCTTTAAACTTTCTAAAGTTTCATTTTTTGGAGAAAAAATAAGATTCTGAAAGTTTCATCTCGATCGCATTTGCAGAAGTTTGATTTTTTGTCCTCAATTTTGGTCGACATTTTCTTGGAAAAAATTGAGGGCCAAAAATCAAACTTCTGCAAATGCGATCAACATGAAACTTTTAGAATCTTATTTTTTCTCCAAAAAAAGAAACCTCAGAAAGTTTAAAGCCAATAAGAATCGGTTTACGGGTACCTCCCATACAAAATTGTCGAAGTTTTAGTTAAAGTGACCGATTTTTCACTTCATTTTTATTATTTTATTTTCACTGCCTTTATTTCAAGAAAATTCACAAAAAATAACCAAAAGTACCTACGGACAACGCAGGCAAACGGTACGGAAAAGTTAGGGATTACCAATGTAATTCTTTTTATTTTTTAACAAATTCAGTCATATAGCAAAAATACATGGTTCCAAGTGTATTTTTAACACCAAATTTGAACTCAGCGCCTCAAATTACTTTTAGATTGACTATGCTGATGTCAAAAATCGAATAATCTCAGAACTAAAATTTTCTAGTAGTGTTCACGTATCGAAAAAAATCACATTTTTTCACGAATTCTTGCCACCAAAAGTAAATTTTTGTTCAAAGCAGCCACTTTTATGGTTTTTTAGGCCACAGAATTCGAATCTACCCAAAAAGAAATAACAAAATTTTCAGTGGGAAAAATTGATATTTTTCAATACATTTATACGGATTTTTTTTTGCGTTTTTCGGTTTTTCTCCCATAACTCGTACCTCATATGCGATGGAGCAAAACTTTGTTCAGCAAAGTTTTAGATCTCGCTAAAACCTACAATTTTGCCGCAGACAGTTATCACTTATCTCTTATCAATAAGGAGATAATGGACTTGATAGCTTTTACCAATTATCACTGTTATCTTCTAACTGATAAGAGATAGGTGATAACTGTCTGCGACAAAATTGTAGCTTTCAGTAGTTAGTCATAAAGTTCTGCTCCGTTGCATATGGGGTTCGAGTTATGGGAGAAAAACCGAAGAAATGCAAAAAAATCCGTATAAATGTATAGAAAAATATCAATTTTTCCCACTGCACATTCAGAGATGATTTGGGCCAAAGTGAGAGGTTTTATTAAAAACTGATGTTCGGGAGGCATAGCTAATTTTCGACGAGAAATCCAAAAATGCAATTGATTGAAGAGTGAGGTTTACCTACTTTGGGGTGGATTTTGTACTTTTTTCACTTTTTGACACCTGCCCTTCAAACTGGGTCAACATGGGAGGCCAACACTATGTGCCAATGAAATCTATGGGACCAGGTGTTGGGTTGAAAATGAAAATCAGCTAGTTTTGAGCCCAATTTAATTTTAAGCTATTGGGAGCATATACCTTACCATGATAAATCAGTTTGGACCACCCTATTTAACACACCAAAAATTGTGTTAGAAGCAGCAAAAGTGCAATACTGACGTGGTGCATAGTCATCGAAACGACGGTTATTTATGCAAAAATAACGTGTGCTATTGAACAGGATTTTCTGAATTCATTTCGTAAATATACATATATGCATGAGAGGGAGAGAGTGTGTGTAGGTGGGTGTAACACAAAAGTAGCTAGCAAACGAGAGAGAATTTCGATTGTATCGAACCAACAATTACATTTCCATCAGAACTGTTTGTTGACTTATACATATAAAGTGTTATCATGAACTGCCTGGGATAGCTTCTGCAAGTAACTTACCCGATGGGGTATGATGTGTATAAGTCTTGTTGTTTTTATTTTGATAGTATTGTTTTTGATCGTTGAATAGAGTAGTGATTCTACATATTTATTTCTCGTTCGTTGGTCTTGTTATTTCACATGATTTTTCTTTTTAATAAAACAATCAGCTATGTGTTGACCAATTTTTTTTATTATCGTCATTCGCTTCATTATTTCTATTTTAAACCAGAAAAAATTGATAAAATGTAGAAAATGGCCTGGATTATGAAAATATTAAACTTAGTAAATAAATAAAAATCAAATGAATTTTTAGATAAATTTATAATACAGAAGGAATCAAAGCAAAAAAAAAATATAATTCTCAGTTGATTGAGAGCTTGTTTTACTGTAAATGTATGAATAGGAAACGAACAGCATTGCATGCATTGTTATTATTCACAAGGAATAAGTCAAATGAATGCTTCTACAGTTGTGTAGTACTGATAATATGGCTGTGCGTGTGTATATCCATATCTATAGCAATAATTTAATTCTGAATAATTGAATTTTCATTTGATTGTGCGTTAAGTCCTTTGAAATGATGTCGAATGGCGGTATTCGCGTTGGCAATCTACGTTTTGCCGCGTTAACTAGATAATGTTTCACCCAATGATCAAATTAATTGCATACGAGTGTGCGCTACTTTAGATTCCATTATACAATTTTATGTCACACATTGATGAAGAAATCCATGGCAACGAAGCGGCGGGCAGCATTCATCGATTGCTGTTGCATAGCACTGCAGGAAGAGAAAAAAAAACGTAAACACACATGCACATGATGTAATTGAATGAACAACAACAGCCCAAAAAACAGTGATGGATACAAAATTTGTGTATCACATTAAATTGATTAATTAAAATGGTAGTAATTTGATATTAACCAATTATCCGTTTGAATCGAATAAAAGCCTATCAATATTCACGCTAATGCACATTTTCGATCGTTTTTTTTTTCTTCTTCGTGCACTTTGCTCGATTAATCTAGTGAATGTGGTGTGAATAGGTTCGATGCAAATTATGGATTAACGGCTTGGACGAGTGGTTAATTCAAATGGAATGGATAGGTTTGTTTTACCTTTTGTCCGATTCCTTGGCAAGGTGCATTTGCTGTACTGCTTGAGTATGACGGTCTGGTGTATGATGTTATTTGTTCCGTTGACAAGCTGTCTGCTGTAGGATGAATGCATAAATTCGTGATTTTTGAACAAAATTTCGTGCAACACTGATCCGAGCTTGAACACTGTACAATGAAAATAAACAACGAGTGATTTTACGTCAACATTTTTTTGTGTCTCAAATGATCTCAGCGAATATCAAAGTGTTCGTAATACCAAATTTCCATCAGTCCGGCAACTGCTTTCACTGGAGCCAATTTCATGGGGTGTCAGTGTTGTTGGTTGATCCGTTTGAACAGGATATGATGTTGACGTCATCTCACTCGGATGTGTTTGATACGTGTTTGTTGCAGCTACATCACCACCACCACCACCACCGAATCTGTTTACTAGCTCCTCGATATTGTTTACCGTGGCCAGTTCAGTATCATATTGGTGGTTATCATGCAGCTCGACACATCTATACGAATACGATAGACAACTATTCGAACAACAATCGCTGTGTGATGTACACTGTAAATATAGGTATATTTTGGTTTTTATATGGCAACATTTTATAGATATAAACACAAAATACTACGCAATAGCATCACAAATGCAAACAAATGACTAATCTCAAACTTACATATTGACCGAGACCTTTGCACTGTGCACTTGCACGGCCACACCAAAACAGCGTTAGAAATACCAAAAGTGCGATACTGTAGCGATGCATTGTCACTGAATTGAATTATTTATGCAAATATGTCTGCCTGTAGTCACTTTCAGAGAAGAAATATGCTAGAGAGTGCATACAACACGGAGGTAGCTAAGAGAGAGAATTTTGGTTTGCACTGTGCCAACAATTACATTTATACTAGTGCTGACAGGTCGAAAAATCACTTCCACCAAAGCTGCTTGTCGACCGATAAGTGTGAAGTGTAATCAAGAACTGTGTATATTTTGCTTTCTGGGTTAGCAGTTGTGCAAGTATGTCCGCTGACTCGATCCGGTATGATGTGTATAAGAGTTGATGTTTTTTTCTTCTTGTTTTGTTTGGTGTTTGTTGGTGTTATTGTGTGTTTTGATTTTGGCTGTTGAATAAACACTTCAAGCAGTGACTATATGGTTTTTACTTCTCGTTGGTCTCGTTTGGTGTTGTGTGATTCGTTCGTTTGTTTTTTTCTTCTGATATTTTGCTTCACGTGATTCTTCCTTTCTAGAAAACATTCAGTTATGTGTCATCGCGATTTTTTTTTTCTCTTCGTCACTTCTACTTTACACATCGTTTACTTACATTACGTATATATGCGCTTTCGTTTCATACTTTCTAGTTTGTTCTTCGGACATTGTACAAAATAACAAAGATTGTGCGCTATCAAAAATCATTTTGGTGACATTCAACCGCATTTGGAACACTCATTCCATTCGATATCAGTCTGAACAAATACGGGTTGAAAACTAAAAATACACTTTTTTGACACTAATGTTTTTCGAATGCTGAACGCATCGAAAGCCAGTTTTGATTGAAGTAATTTGTCAACATTTATCGATTGAAATGACAGCTTGCTCTAAATTCAATGATGTTCCACTAAATAATGATGCCATTTGCGCTATCGCAAATTGGAAGAAAACAATTCTTGGTAATGAATCATAAAACACCTATATTATTTGTGTTTCGTTGAAAATAAGTAAAACGAATATGCGCCGAATTCACTCATCAATATTTTTTGTTACTAAGATATTGCAGAGTCAAATTCACCTTTCACTGCTTTCTCAAGTTACATACAGACAAGATTTCAGTTTGAAATTGTCATCGAATTTCGCATTCATTCTGAATGGATTATTCGCATTCGAAACCACTCTTTGTGCCAAATATTCAGTGTCGACTGGTTATATCAAATTCTACTTTCATCGTAACAAAATGAAGAACTTTATGTCGCTTCACATGAACAGAGAAAAAAAAATTACTCGAATATGCACAGATACTGGGAATTGTACGGTTTAATGAGATGATATCGGTAGTAAAAGTCAAGTCCATGGAAAATACTTTTACAGTAAATGTTTAATGATTGTTGATTGATTTTTTTTCTTCAACTGAATATTTGGATTGGTTCAAATGAGAACATGGCCTTTCTCTTCAACATATGTTAAACTGTTTTTGTTCTCATTTTAATTATATTTTTATATGTATGTTATTTATTGAATTCTTATTTGGAAAAACCCAAAACAAAGAATATACCGAGGATTCATGTGATTTTTTCTCCATTGGATTGGAATACCAAATAGATTCTCTATGAATGGTTTGGAGCGAAAATGTAATACAGAAAAGTTGAGCGGAAAAATGTCAAATGAAAAGGGATAGCTATATAGTTCACTATAGTTTACTATACAGTTTACTATATAGCTATCCTTTTTCCTATGATGAATGAATCATCGATATTTTTCCGCTCAACTTTTCTGTATTACATTTTCGCTCCAAACCATTCATGTATGTTTGGGTCTTCGGTCGTTGGCCACCGATTTTTTTTCCATCGAAAGCGATACCTAGAATGAATGATTGCAGAGAGAGAGAAAGTCGAATCCATTGGAATATGATATAAACACAGACATTTGGTTAACAATCGAAGAGTCGCCTTATTATCGATTGGCCCACCGATTTTGAGATTTTTTTCAAATGAATTTTTTTTTCTCTCGAATCTCGTATATTCGATTGCTGGGTTAGTCAAGTGCCAGGGATTAACCCAACATTGAGATAAAATCCAAAAAAAAAAATCTGTCTGAACTCGATGTAAATCCAAGAAAATCCAAATCGAATAAAACATCGTCCATCTCACGTGCAACATTTAACATAACAAAAAAGGAAGTAATCTGCAACAAACAGCAGAAAAAAAACGAAACATGCACATTTTCCCTTTTTTGATCAATGATTTTCAATAAATTGTGCAATGGCAGATAATAATCAAATTCTTATCCAAAATCCTCAGCTTTTTATTGTATTTTTGATTAATTTTTCACTGGATCTTTCTTAAACACGTACTTTCGGAAGGGTTTGGAGAAACAAAACAACAAAACACGATGAGTAAAGAAATTCAATGGCATCGTATTCATAAATTTTATGATGGCCGTTTTAACAATGACTTATCGTTCAATTTGGATATATATTTGACAAAACTCAGGTTACCACCACACACAAATAATAAGTTGGTTAAAATTTTTAATGGTTTCGTTCCTCCCCCAAGCATGGCATCGATGTCTTGTATCGTAGTAAGGTGCACACCTTTTGTATCGCCCTTTGTGTCTTCAATTTCAATGAAAAATCACATCGAATCTGCGATGCGGTTGAGTCAATGGTGAATTCAAACATAAAACAGTATTTATTGTTTGGTGTGTTTCGAAGTGATTGATGCTATAAGCAAATGGGCATGACAATTGTTCTTTTCGGTATGTCATTTCACCATATTCTTCATTCAAACGAGGCCATTTTGATGTTATTCGAGGAAAAAATGGAATCAATGGCATAAAAACAAACAAAGTATAAATGAGTAAACATACAATAAAAACCCGATATCAAAATCTATCGTCTAAAAGACACCTATAATTTGAATACCGAATAACAAGGCAGAGCATTCGCCCTTCTGCATCAAATAAAATCATGAGACATCAAGCGACTGATGAAAAATAATTCCTACAAGGCCATTGAAAGTTTGATTTTGAATATAACAATGGGCGCGAGCGCATCGCAAATAGCAGCGAGTCAGCGAGCACCGATTTTAAATAGAAATTACGTGCTTATGCAGAGTAAAGGTGGAAGAAGATATCTATTTTATTTATATGCATGTATTTTTTTTTCTTCGTTTGTGGCTACATTTCAAACGCAAATTACGTCAGCAATAAATATTTTGCAGTTAACCAACGATACAGAGCAAACCGAATGAACGATAGCAACTAGGAAACAAGACCGCACATCGTCGCTTCGCTCCTCTCTGCGTTCTTTATGCGTTTGTTAAAATTGATTTTTTTAAATTAATTTAATGTTCCCATCAAATTAGTGGATTGTACATTATTTTACATTGGGAATTAAAATATTATGAAATTTTTTTTTGAGTTATCTCAAATAGGAATTAAATGAACATGATATTATTACATTTTTGTAATTAGGCGTAATTGTTTCATTTCAAATTAGAAATTTGGATAGAAAGAAGAATTAATTTTCGGTCCAAAAAAGTGGCCTAAAGAGTCTTAAAATTCTCTCGTGAAAAAAAAACAATTACAATAGCCTATATTCCATGTATACTACATTCCATGTAGTGCTAAAAAGGACAAATACGAATGCCATCGTCATATTATTCGTTTTCTGTTGTGGTTTGTCGCTCGGTCGGAATTTGCTGAACATTAGCATTAAAATGCACATAAAACTACGCTATTTCTCTGCGACTGTATGCTTCACTCAATCTATCTCTTTTCCCCTATCTTTTACTCTGTGTGCGTGTATGTGTGTATATGCGCGCGTATTTGATTTGTCGTCGCGGTCTTTTGCATGAAAGTCGAATCACTTTTTAACAGTTGAATTGTATTCATTTTTCGTTTGTGCGGCAGTCATTTCAATTTTCAATTGCTATTATTATTATTATTATCATCATTATTATTATGAATATACATGTACACGTTCTTATCTTTTTGGCTTTTTGAATATTAAGGCAATGGGGGCAAAAATGTATCTATGTAATTTTTTGAATGGGAGTTCCAAATTTTTCATGTTTTCGCTGTTGTCGTGGCGGTGATGTCGATAGAATTGCTCTCTCTCGCACACACATTTTCTGCCGCGATTTTCATCGCCAAAAAATTCTATTGAGTCGTCCGTTGCCTTTTCATTCAAATATTTCCTTCGTAAATAATAATCATTTCTTTAGCGGCAATGGTTTTTATGATTTCTTTCAAATTTCTTTCGCCTTTATTCTTCTTCTGCCGTTCTCGTTCTTGCTCTCTCTCCCCCTTCTACACTCTTGAATTGTTCACCATATTCTCACATCGTTATTAAATTGTCAATTTATTTAGCATTGGTTTGTACTTCATGCACTGCCACATTCAATTCAGCCGCACTTTTGTAGCGTGTGCACACAGTCAAAAAGTCTCGTCAACATTTGAAAAAAAAAGACTTTGAATGTGCACCTATCGAAGAGGACGAAATGCCCGTCCAAATGAACGGGTCGGTACAAAACACGACTGAACACAACGACTTTTTTCTCTTCTTCTTTCGTGTTCGCACAAAAATTCTAGACTTGGAGCCGAAATTTTTTTTTCAGAAGAAACATTATTAGAATGTTTTACTCAACGCATAATAATATCCATTTTCACAATTTGGACTGGTGGCATGCTGTTGATGGCAACAACTTGGTTGCTTCATTTCGAATTGTTTGTGTGTGTGTGTGTGTTATTTCTTTTTTTATTCTCGAAAGTTGGCAATTGCCAGCAGTCGGCACACTGGTTGCATTACCACCACGCCATAGTCATTGTCATCGTCGTCGTTGTTGTCGACGCAATCAATGCGAAAAGAGACCCGAGACACGATATTTTGCTCGCTTATTCACTTGTTCGGCACAAATGGGACTTCTTCCAAAACAGCATCTTGTGACATCCATAAAGCGATTCGAAACATAGAGTAGCTACACGTTCGGTCCCATATCAAACATCAAATTATGATAATTTAATCATAATTTCTATGCGATGTTGCACAAATAAGACTGAATTTGTGGACACAGGAAAATGAACAAAAAACAGTAGAGAGAGGGAGAAAGAGAGAGAGTGAGCGAAGAAAACTGCATGGCCAAGTTATCGAATTGTAGCTCCCAGTACGTTGTGTGCATGAAGCCGCTGATAAATACCACTTAAGAGCTGTGAGCTGTTTGCCAACGGGTGAAGAAAAAAAAACACTGAGAAAAGGCGCCGATCAAAAGCCGACACACAAAAAAGAGCCGAAATGAAGAAATGGAGAGAAGCGGAGG